TATGCTAATATGTTGCATGCATTCCTTTATCATTGTAATTATCTGCATCACCACCTTCTTTATATATTCCCGTCTTTTTTTTATGCAATATATGTTGGTATATGTGTTTGTATATGTCTATGTTAGTATACTGTATGTTTGCATGATTGCATTGCAGCAGAAAGCAGATGATGAACAGCAGGTTTCCGAGGAGGAGGAGAAGCAGGTAAGTAATTCCTTTCTACTTACACTGACTTACACTTGTCATTACTGTGGGATGATGATGATGATGATGATGATAGTAATGATAAAATTATGATAATAATGATGATGATGATGATTATAATAATACTAAGAATGATGATGATAATAATAGTAATAATGTTGATAATAATAATAATGATAATAATATTATAATAAGAATAATGATAAGATGAATAATGATGATAATGATAACAATGATGATGATTATAATAATAATAATGATAATGATAATAATGTTGATAATAATACTAATAATGAGAGTAATGATAACAAGGATAATAATAATAATGATAATAACAATGATGATGACGATGATAATGATTATAATGATAATAATAATAACGTTGATAATAATACTGATAATGTTAATAATGGTAGTAATAATGATGATAATAAGTATAATAATAATAATCAAGATTATGATTATTGTTATTATTACTATTATTATTATTTAGGTTACTGGATAATCCTGTTAATTTTACTACTGCTATTCATCATCATAATCATCTCATTATTATTATTATTATTGATATCAGTATCATTATTATTATGATAATAATGATAATTATTATTCCTCTTGTTGTTATTATTATTAATCTTACTGTTGTTATTATTATTATTATTATCGTTATTATTATTATTATTAATCTTATTATTATCTTATTACCATCATTATCGTTATTATTTTTTATTGTTATTATTATTGTTATTATCACTGCTATCAATATCATTATTTTCATTATCATTATTACCATTATTATCGTGATGCTATTATCTTCCTCGTCATTAGTTTTTTTTCCATTTTTATTGTTACTCGTCACATACTGCAATTGTCACATAGTATTTCGTTATATAAAGCTCTGCCATCTATCATTTCTTATATTTTTTTATTAGAATCTGAAATTGCAAGTGCTTGCCTCTGACCCTCAGTTATTTTTCCATTATTCCCTCATCATTTTTCTGTGATATTTTTAGCTCAACTTTATAAATTTCGTTTTTTTCTCTCTTTTTTTCCTATTTTTTCCAATTCCCAGTCGTTTTCATCCTGTTTAATATTCTTTTCATTTATTCTCTTTATGCATAACTCATTATATCGTTGTTGTTGTTATTTTTCTCCTCAAGAAAAATAGAATTATAACTTTAAACACTATTTTCAGAAGGACGAAAACGAAGAGGACAAGGAAAACAAAAACGGAGAAGAGGAAGAAAAAGACAAAGAAAAAGAAGAAGACCCGAAGACGGAAGAAGAAAAAGCACAAGAAGACGAAGACGAAGAAAGCGACGAAGAGGACATAACAGACGCGAAAGATGACATAGTGGAAGGGTTGAAGAGCCAGGACAAGAGGCGCCAGTTGGTCTGCGCCGAAAAAGCCCGCCATCTGCTCTCCTCGCCCCGCCCGCCGCTCAACCAGCTGATCGCCGCCGGCGTTCTCCCGCCCCTGGTCCTCTGCATGGCCAGGCAGGACGCGTGAGTCACTGGCGAAAGGGCATTGTGGGTAACGGAATCCGTGAGTGAGTAACGAAAGGACGCGTGAGTCACTGGCGAAAGGAAGGGATGGGTAACGGAATAAGTGAGTGAGTAACGAAAGGACGCGTGAGTCACTGGCGAGTAACGGAATCCGTGAGTGAGTAAATAAAGGACGCGTGAGTAACTAGTGAACGAGCGGGGTGGGTAACGGAATCCGTGAGTGATTAACGAAAGGACACGTGAGTAACGGATAGACACGTACGTAACCGATGACAGGGCAGCATGAGTAACAGAAGGATTGGATGAGTAACGAAAGACGCGTGAATAACGAAAGGACGGACAGAATGATCGAGTCAAGGAAAGGCGCGTGACTAATGAAAAAAATAATAATAATAAAAATAAAAAAACAAGAATAACGATAATAAGGATGAATAAGAAACTAAAAGACGCACGAGGAAACGAACGACAAAGCACGGACGAGAGACGGAAAGACTGCATGAGTAACGAGAGGTCGACGTGCCTGACGGAGAAACAAATGCGAAGCGGCTTGCGTGACTCGGGCGGCGTGCGTGATGGTGATGAGTGCATTTCTCGTCCGGGAAAGTTTTTTTTTTCTTTCCTTCTCTCTTTCTTCTTCTCTCCTTCTCCTCCCCTCCATTTCCCTCTTTCTCCATCTCTCCTTCTCCTCCCCTCCATTTCCCTCTTTCTCCATCTCTCCTTCTCCTCCCCTCCATTTCCCTCTTTCTCCATCTCTCCTTCTCCTCCCCTCCATTTCCCTCTTTCTCCATCTCTCCTTCTCCTCCCCTCCATTTCCCTCTTTCTCCATCTCTCCTTCTTCCTGTCTTTCTCCTTCTCTCCTTCTCCTCCCCTCCATTTCCCTCTTTCTCCATCTCTCCTTCTCTCCTTCTCCTCCCCTCCATTTCCCTCTTTCTCCATCTCTCCTTCTCCTCCCCTCCATTTCCCTCTTTCTCCATCTCTCCTTCTCTCCTTCTCCTCCCCTCCATTTCCCTCTTTCTCCATCTCTCCTTCTCCTCCCCTCCATTTCCCTCTTTCTCCATCTCTCCTTCTTCCTGTCTTTCTCCTTCTCTCCTTCTCCTCCCCTCCATTTCCCTCTTTCTCCATCTCTCCTTCTCCTCCCCTCCATTTCCCTCTTTCTCCATCTCTCCTTCTCCCTTTCTTTCTCCTTCTCTCCTTCTCCTCCCCTCCATTTCCCTCTTTCTCCATCTCTCCTTCTCCCTCTCTTCCTCCTTCTCTCCTTCTCCCTTTCTTTCTCCTTCTCTCCTTCTCCTCCCCTCCATTTCCCTCTTTCTCCATCTCTCCTTCTTCCTGTCTTTCTCCTTCTCTCCTTCTCCTCCCCTCCATTTCCCTCTTTCTCCATCTCTCCTTCTCCCTCTCTTCCTCCTTCTCTCCTTCTCCCTTTCTTTCTCCTTCTCTCCTTCTCCTCCCCTCCATTTCCCTCTTTCTCCATCTCTCCTTCTCCCTTTTTAACTTCTTCTAATTTTCGTTCTCTTTCTCTTTCTCCTTTTCTTCCTCCATCATCCCCATCTTCATCTCCATCTTCACCCTTCTCCCTCACCCTTTCCTTCTCCTCCTCCCCCTCTTCCCCCCTTTCTCCATCTCTCCTTCTTCCTGTCTTTCTCCTTCTCTCCTTCTCCCTCTCTTCCTCCTTCTCTCCTTCTCCCTTTCTTTCTCCTTCTCTCCTTCTCCCTCTCTTTCTTCTTCTCTCCTTCTCCTCCCCTCCATTTCCCTCTTTCTCCATCTCTCCTTCTCCCTCTCTTCCTCCTTCTCTCCTTCTCCCTCTCTTTCTCCATCTCTCCTTCTCTCCTTCTCCTCCTGTTCCTTTCCTTCTTTCTCCATCTCTCCTTCTCTCCCTGCAGTCCGGAGCTACAGCTGGAGGCAGCGTGGGCCGTGACCAACATAGCATCAGGGAAGTCGAAACACACCAACGCTGTCGTGGGTAAGTGGGTGAAAAAAGGAATAAGGAAAGAAAGAGAGGAAGAGAGAGAAAGATGTAGTAAAAGATAGAAAGCAAAGAGAGAATGGAGAATGAAGTATTGATTAAAGAATATTTGTGTGTGTGTGTGTGTGTGTGTGTGTGTGTGTGTGTGTGTGTGTGTGTGTGTGTGTGTGTGTGTGTGTGTGTGTGTGTGTGTGTGTGTGTGTGTGTGTACGTGTGTGCGTGCGTGCGTGTGTGCGCGCGAATAAAATAAAACTTAGAAAACATGAGATCCCAAAAAACGCCAGATAAGTTAGTAGAAGAATGATGTACATATAAGCCAAAAGATTAAAGAAAAAAAAAAGTTACTGTGGAAATTTAATGGGATTTAATGAGAATGAAATTGAAGGGATTAGGACTTGCATTTTGGAGAGTTTGTCGGGGGAAACGAAGCGTGTTTGCAATTTACTTTCCGTTGATCTTCGTCATTTTTAGATGTAGCGTGATATATTTTTTTCTTTTCTTTTCTTTCTTTCTTTCTTTTTGTCACTTCCGTTGAAAGTATGAATAGACATATTTTTTTTCAGAAAAAAAAAATAAATAAAAAATATGTATCATCATCCACATTACTATCACCACCACCACCACCACCACCCACCCCCACCACAACCACCGCCCATCCCCCAATCCTCCCACCAGACGCGGGCGCCATCAAGGTCCTCATCCAGCTGCTGAGTTCGAAAAACACGGGCGTGAGAGAGCAGGCGGTGTGGGCGTTGGGGAACATCGTGGGCGACGGACCAGAGTGCAGAGACCGGGCAATAGCAGAAGGTCTTGTCAAACCGCTGGTCGGCCTCCTCAGCGTCACCACACCTGTGAGTCGGGGGGTGGGGGGGGGAAGGAAGGGGAATTGAGGGGAAGGGGAAGGGGGGAAGGAAAAGGGAGAAGGGAAAGGGGGTAGAGATAGAAATGGGGGAGAGAGGAGGAAGAAAGGGAGAAGGAAGGGGTATTGAGGGGAAGGGAAGATTGGGTAGAGAGGGAAGGGGGGAGGCGAGGGGAAAGCAAGGGGAAGGGAGGATTGGGTAAAGAGGGAAGGGGGGGCGAGGGGAAAGGAAGGGGAATTGAGGGAAAAGGAGGATTGGGTAGAGAGGGAAGTAGGGGCAGGAAGGAAAAGGGAGAAGGGAAAGAGGGTAGAGATAGAAATGGGGGAAGGGGAAGAAAAGAAGAAGGAAGGGGTATCGAGGGGAAAGAAGGGGGAATAGAGTGGAAGAGAAGAATAAAAGAAGATAAAGAGGGAGATATTATAGGAGAAGAGAGGTAAATGAAAGAATTTATCAATAACAATTAATCACT